AAATTTGAGGGTTGTCTTCGATTTCCCTGATATCCCATCATCAGACCCTGACTTGGTGACAATGGGACCACCTCGGGAGTAGGTATACCTATGACACAAAAATAATTTTGGAAATCGGTTCATAATTGATGGAGTTCTGTAGGTAACATTACATATAAAAAAATCATGCACTCGAATAATTGAGAACCTCCTTCTTTTTTGAAGTCGGTTTAAAATAATCTTTATAAACTTATTACTTGACTAGCTATCCGCCGCGATTTTTGTTTGTCACAGAAAAACGTTATCGCGCTCGTGCCTGTTTCAAAAACCGGGATAAAAATTATCTTGTCCTTTCCCGGGACTCAAACTATCTCCTTGCCTAATTTTATCAAAATCGGTTTAGTGGTTTAGGCGTGAAAGCAAGACAAACAGACGGACAGAGTTACTTTCGCATATAATATTAGTATAGATACCGCTGTGTGTTCTAAAAGGAACAATTTAATAATTCGATATTCAGTATCAACTGTGTTCCACCACTTTCATACTCTGTAATCTATTCCACTTTATATCTTTATTTTTTTATTTCAATAAGTAGGTACGCATACAGGTTAGTCATTTACATAACAAAAATAACAAAATACATATACAAAATGAAGTGTCTAGACTCCAACCTACAAGCTTAAAGTACTTATTATTATAAAGTTCATAATATGTTACCGGCAATTAGGCAATGTATGAAATATATTTTTTAAGATTATTAGCAATTTCTATTACACAAATTACAAGTCTCGTAATCCCGTTAGCCCCTTTAAAAAAAGCTAGTTGTATCTGGGCATTTAGGGCTTCCTTGAACAGCGTGTGCGGGCGACGGCTCGCGCTGGCGTCGGGATGCGCGCGGCATGCTGCTGCCCGACCAGACGTACGAGGGCGCCGCGCCCGCCCTCGCGCCCGCCCTCGCGCCCGCGCCCGCGACCGCTCCCGCCCTCGCGCCCGCGCCCGCCCTGTCGCCGCACCCGCTGCAGGTGCTGCTGCGCGCGCATCGCGTCCGCCCTGACTTCTTCTGCGCCTATCGCCCACGTAGACTTCGTGATGCACGCAAGTATGATCACAAGTTTATTTATTTCCCCATCCATAATGCACAGATAACATAAATACTACACTCAACATCAAATAAATCGCACCTCCCGCAACAAGCACTTTCAAACGTATGCGTCCCCACTTCCCACCAATATTGGCACCATTTAAAAGCCTCTAGTTCTAAGCTTCATTTCACTAAAGGAAAGGTTTTTACCCCAAAAATGTGTCTTTAGAAGGATCCAGAGTCAACTTTTATGGCTATAAAACTGTTAAGTTGGGATTAATCGGTATCCATCTGTTAAAGAGGACACGTGTGATCATTATTTGGTTTTATAACCATAAATTTTGGTCTAATTGATCCCAGAGGTGAGCCCAAAGTGAGGTCTCTTTTCAAGTCACATTTATGGTAATGATAATCATTTATTTAGAAATTATGTGTTTTTCTTTAAGGGTATTTATTGGGCTTTCAAATAACACCAATATTGTTGGGGCATCATGATTGTGTCAGAAGAAAATCTTTAAAGTTCGCGTCGCGGAAGGTGCGGTTTATTTGATGTTGAGTGTAGATTATAGTATGTAACATATCGTAATGCTATTTATTTCTAACAGCATAATCAGCGATTATTCGATCTCCTATTCCGTACTATTTTTGCAGTCAGAGGTGGTTTAGACTAACGCCCTTGGTCAAAGCCACGGTCTGGAATAATCAGTTAAGAAATGCTTTTTTTTGACCGATGCCCTTTGTCAAAACCACTTTTGACTGGTTTTTGCATTCAAAAGCGACTGTAGCATAATATATTTTTTGACGATGAAAAACAAAGAAAACGTTCAAACAGCAACACACACAGTAGATGTTGTTCATACATAATTTGTAAATTGTTTGCATAGGTCGCCGCAGGGCGCCGCCTCGCGCCCTGAGCAGGCATCGCGCCCAGACAGCCGCCGCCGCGCTCGCCCTGACGCCGATGGTGAGTGCTTTTAACAATTTCATTCACTCTGATCGTTCACAGTCTTATCTAGTTAGTTCTTTGATATTAGGGTAAAATGTTGTAAATTTTTTCGCTGGACCGATCCGGGTTCCGGACGCATGGATACACCACCGCCCAATCCGGTGTCCGGTCAAAAAAACGGATGTGTAGAAGCAGCCTTTTTAACATTTAAACAAGCATACCTACTATTAACGAGATCCTGCGAAATTAAACTGATAACTAAAAAATTACGGGTTTCGCAAATTATTACTTATTCTGTGCTAGGTATAAGACGTTGCTTCGTACCAAATTTCAAGATTCTGAATTAACGGAAGTGCCCTATAGGTTTTGATTCCCTTGCGAGTGTCGATACTTGCGGAAATTGGCGGCAAAACGGCTGTATTTTTTGATTGCGTTGGCTTAGAAGTTTAATTTTGTTATAGATATTATAGACCTATTATATTTGATAAGAATTTCAATTTAATACCTCTACGCGTTTAGTTGTTGCTTGTTACATCCATATTCGCGTGTCACGCTCACATTAGCCGCTTCCTAACTGTCCATGAAGCCAACTCCAATAATGCTACGCGGACCATCATCCGATCTGTCGATTGTCATTCCTACATCGGCCGGCCGGACGATACGTCACCGAGGGCGCTCCTCTGGAGACATGACTGAAGCGGCTCCGAGCTCTACATGACGGAGACGGCGCAGCTCGCAGCGGCAGGTCAGTGCTCACGCTCGCCGCGCCTCACCCTGCCTCGGGTAGTGCCTACACGTGACTGGCTCCGCGATACCGTGAACTAAAAAAATTACCTACATTTATTTATTTATATTATTATTTTCAAAATTAACCATTTAGTATTTGCATCGCGACATCATTTATTTATTAGTTATATGCACATTTTGAATTGCACATAAATCACAGTACAATAAAGTGATCTTAATGCCATTCCTAACTTAGGCACGTAGGCCTCCTGAGGAGCAATTTGTGGCCAAACTGAGAATAGAGTAGGCGGTTCTATTGTTCTATCGTCGTCCATAGTCCAGTAAAGTGCCACACTGTGCCAATCACGTTAGGATCATCAGGTTCGTCGGGTTCGTCGTCGGGGTCACCAATTTGTGCCATGTTGGGGGACTGCATACCGGCACACACACCTTTACTGAAATTCAGGAGAAAAGGGGGGATAATTCATCTCATCGTCTATCATTTTATCATACACTATTTCATCGATTTAATCTTATTTAACTTGAAAATGTGATGTTGGGATTTGACGATGAGCCACTCATGCATGAGTATCAAAGCACGTCAATAATTTTCTCCCTCATGTTGCAAAATGCACCTGCCTTTGTAGATTCTCTTGCTTTAAATTGCTCGCGTCGCGATTGTTGCGTCGCGCGCCGTTTTGTATTTTTGTTACCACCTTGTGCCGCTGCAATCCTGCAGATCGTATATCAATCAGGTCATTAGTTCAACGTCCGGGTGGGCATCTAAATAGACTTGACTCTGCTTGAGAACTTTTCTGTGTCAGCAGCTATAATGGCCTTTAATATTACAACGGACCTAAAAATTTTTCACAAGTTTTGGTTCCATAATTTAACGTAAGTACCTACTCGTATCTGAGTTATTATGTTACATATTACCGTAGCGTCCTCTTGCGAGTATTCCGCGCCTCTATTCACCCGCGCCAGCCTGGTTGCTGCGTCACTAGAAGGCTTTACGTTCGCCTGAGCCCCTTGGAGCACTCGTAGTCAAGGCAGTCACCGATAGATGGTGCTTGTAGTTTTAACTCTGCCGTATGCATTATACTGGATCGGAGAGCTTTTACTATGGCCACATGGCCACCAACTTATTTTCTTCTGACATGATTAAATTGATTTTAATAATAAATAAAAGAAGTAAAAGTGTATTGACATAAAAAAGTTAATTGTTTTAAAATTGAAAATGTTGCAACTAGGATTTATGGGCTTTAATTTATCATTTAATTCAATTATAATACTTAAAAAATGTTATGGTAGAAACTTAATAGTACCTACCTACCTACAATGTCAACGATGTTAAGCGCTAAAATTCTCAAGGAATTTATTCATCCCACGTAACTAATTAGAACCATAGAATAAATTACAACTTGTTAATTACTTATCATAGCAAAAATCGATTTATTGGGACCATAGACCTCGTCTTTAAAAACCGAATCGAAGTCGTTTCCGTAGAGCGACACCGCGCCCCGCAGCGGCGACATCCGCGCCCGCAGCGCTCAGCACATTAATATCTCTATGGTCCAGTATCGTACACCCCGTGGAATTAACTATTATAGGTACCACGGAATAATAATTCTTATGTAACTTACAACTGATTGACAGACCCCTTACCACAGAAGCATTTTCCATAACATGCGCAAATGCACGTAGAGTCTGCTAGAAATAGGAAGATAACGTTAGATTTCAATTGGAATTGGGAAATGCCTCGTAAGGCGGTAAGTACCTACTTGCGCTTAGCTTTCGGCGCGAGCTTACAAATAAACAAACCAGTTTCTTCTCTCCCTGCACCTCGCACCCCCGCACTATCTATATCGCCGGCGTGCGCGCAGCCTCCGTTGCTCGACACTGCTCACATCGCCCGCGCCCGCTTAATGTACGAAATGAACTTTTACCCTATCTCTGGAGCGCGCTCAATCGCTACTCAAAACGAATGGCTCAGAAAGAGAATTGTGTTAGGTGTTTTGATTTAATATCAGAGGCCACATCTATGTAGGCATGTCGTATTAATCGCATTCCATCAATATTATAAGAAGGCGTTTTGAAATACCACGGTGATGCGACTTGGCTGTGACATTGCATTTCCTTTCTGGGATATCGAGGTCGTCTACCAAATGTTCAGGAGCGTTTCTAGCGCTCAGCGGGCGGCCGGGGGGCGGGGGCGGGGCGGCGGGCGGCGGGCCGGCGGCGGCGCGGGCGCGGCAGTAGCGAGGCAGACGCGCGCGCGAGTGCTCGCCGAATCGCCCGGAGCGGCGCGGCCGCAGACTGTGATGCGAGCGCGGCGCCCGCCATGGCCACGCTCGGCCTCTCCAAGGTGTTCATCCTCGACAAGTACTTCACCGAGCTGCAGAAGTTCTGGGAGACGGAGAAAAAGCTGCAAGGTGAGCGCCCGCGGCCCCTCCCCGCCGCACGCGCCGCCGTGATCATTGTTACTCGTTATCTCGTGTTCCACTCTTGAAAGCTCCGACGTTTAGGCTGTGCTTGTGTGTGCGTAACGTACGCCCGAGCTGTACACATCGAAAGCTCAAGGATTGCGGTTCCGTTAATTTGATTATGCATAAACCCCCTCATATTGGTGTAGGTACATCTACTACGCTACGGAATAGTTTAAATTCCAAATTATACTCCCGAAAATCACAGAGGTAGAGTATATTGTATCAACATTTTTGTAGGGTTTGTTGATCGCGGAGTAAAGAGTGAATGTTCGTAGGTGTTCTCATCCGATGTCTTAAATGTAGGAATCGTGTGCGGGCTCGCACGACCGGGGCCAGGGGTTATCGTACAGTTAGGCGGCGCGAGCGTCGGGTCCGAGGATGCATATTTAGTACATAAGCGATGTTACGCAAAACTGCATTGGAGGCTGCGCGGCTAACGGCACGTCATAGACAGGGGCTCGGCAGGTGCGCGGGGCGGGGCGGGAGTACCTGCGCAGGGGCAGGTAGCGCGGCGCCGTCACCTTTGAACCGCCCAAACAATGCGACGGCTGCCCCCCCTGCCTGCCTGGCCGCCTGGCCCCCGGGGAAGGCAATGACACTAACCCATTACTTTCCGGTATTGTAGATATAAACAGCCAAAACACAAAGATTTTTTTTGAACAGATAAATTGACCTATACATTGTAAATGCCGTTTGGCACGTTAAGCTCAATTTATATTCATCATCACAAATCAGGCTTCTTTAGTCCATCTAATCTTCTTCCTCTTACTTTGTTTATGGCCAATAGGTCTAGACAAAGTGCACATTATGAGCGCAAACCACGAAAGTGATCGAAGCCTTTTTTTTGTATGGAGTTTTGACGGATTCCATTGTCGATTCGATCAAAAAGTGCATTTTTTCTAGGGGGGCAAGTCTGGGATATGACGGCCCACAGCGACCTCCCCAACCATCTAATCTAATTGCCATTTTACGCAATTAACATCTCATGTCACACATTAGTTGTCAGAGCGGTACGGAGTTCGCCTAACCAGCTGTCTGTTTAAAAATTGATAATGAGAATTGTTATTAAACAGCCAAACGTTTTCTATTTACTATATTATATCAATTTGTTATGATGACCGCATTTATAATAACGGACCTGTCGGACCAGTGTATCAGTTCTTGAGCCTTCCGTCCTAAACTACATACTTATTTACCTGCTTTTTGGTTACTTACCTTTTTAAATATTGTTTAAATTGATTTAGACGAGGATTTGTGAGGATATCACACATACATTCATACATGATCGCGTCGGTCGTACGTACGTAGTACCCGCCGAGCGCAAGTGGCTCCTGCTCTCGGGAACTATTCAGATTCAGCGCTCTTCAGTTTTTGTAGCGCGTCCTCGTGGCGATACATCATGTTAGATTTCGCAAAAAATTAATAGAGTCGTGTGCAAAGCGGGCGCAGCGCAGGAGCCACGCGCGCCGGTTTTTGCGCGACGCGGCGCGGCGATGCGCTTTTATGACCGTCGTAATGTTTCTCTATACTCTGATTTTTAATTCGACGGAATTTTGACATTTCAGAAGTGTTGTCAACATTGAAACATTCCCATTATGAATGGAGAGCATTTTCACAAATTAAAAAATAATCCTTTCTTGAATTTAAGGTTTCACTTGAAAAACTAAGGTTTAAAAATGTACTGATCATTTCCAAATGGTTATTTGAATTTTTATTATCATATTTTTGAAGTTACAAAAAAAATTGGGAAATTATTTTTCTATTACTGGACTCCCTGGCCAATAATCCATGGGTTACAAACCTTTTTTATGAAAATCCTTTTGTTAATAAAATCTTAGCTTCATAAAATAACCAATGTAACAAGATGCCAATTTTATAATGCAAGTTGATTATGACGACGATAATGATTATTGATGATCAATACATATTTTCGTTTATGATAATATGTTGTTTTACTGTGTTAAAACACGTTTTTTTTCTATTTAATCTCTAAAATGTACATAATAATTAGTGTACATTGAATTGACAAAACAAACAATAGTACATACTTGTAAGTTGTACTTGATGAAATTTCATTTCATATTATTTATTATTAATTCAAAGCAAAAAAGGCTTATTACATCTGAATTGTCAAAAAATGACAGCTGTCAGAATTCCGTCGAATTAAAAATCGGACTATAGTGCACTATTAAACTGACACGTTCTACATTATACTTTTTGAACTTCAGTTATTTTAGTAAAAATATTACACATTATACACATAATAATATATCTCATGTAAATTTCTTTTAGATAAAGCTCATAATTAATTATTAATATTATGTGCGCGCCAGGTGACACAACGCTCCGTACGAAAGACATCAACGCGCTTCGTGTGCGCTCAGAGCAGGCACAGCGCGGGTAGTGTAATAATGTCACCGTATGATTTATTTATTTTATTCATTAACAAACATACGGCTTCCATCAACGAATAACACAGACTTATTTTTAGGGAACACTTAGGCTCGCCGATCTATTTTTTTTTAGATCGAAGCGTCTAAAATAGCCAAAATGATCTGATATTCAATATTTCCTATAAATGTAACCAGTCAAAGTAAGCATATTATTATTGTTTGAGGCGCGTAAAGTAGTCAATATATTTTATGTTGGCAAGACAGTGGCAAGACTGTTCACAATTTTATATGAGCTGTCAGCATGTCCATAAGTTTAAATTGTTGAACAATGATACCCCTTCCCAGCAATCTTCCCAGCGGTTCCATAGCGCCGCTAGTCATGTAGTCGGAATAGGTTGTGTGATTCTTTCAGGCATTTTCACATGTTAAAAGCTCCATGGAACCGCTGGGAAGGGGTATCTTTGTTCAACAATAGCTTCGAAACTAATAGAAGTAGACTAATTTTACATTCGTTTTGTAGAATAGCTCAAATACTAATAATACAATGCAAATAAAACATACTTTAATGACCTGGTTTTTCTTGTGTTGGAAAATAACTGAAAAAGAAGTGAAAAAAGATATGTTTTTTTTTCTAATTAAATCCATTCTACTGTTACTAAGATATTTGACTACTTTGGGTGCCTCAAACGATATGCTTACTTTGACTGGTTACATTTAATATGAAATATTGAATATCAGATCATTTTGGCTATCTTAAAGACGCTTCGTTTTATCTGACGCTGACTGAACAATTTTAATTTTTGTCATACTGCTGAACAGACTAAAGCTCAAATTAAAATTTTCGCGTTTTGGTGTAAATGTCATCAGATAGAGCTGTTTTGTGATCTGGGGGCACGGTAGTGCCCCCGCCAAGTCGAGCGCGAAGCAAACACTGCCGTACCATCCTTTACTGGAACCATTTCGCCGCATTTTCAGGCCTCTATTTGAGAACCTCTGGATAAGACCAGAACGCTGAAATTTTCGTCATCTAGTAAGCTATAATCACATATTTAAAATCCAAAATTTCAACTCTGTAGGTCATTTAGTTCCGAAGTTATGCGAAAGCAAAGTTTCGCATTTACGACACTCACTCACTCACTGATGATCATCAAAATAGAACTAGTACTTCCTATCAACTCAGAGAGTTGAAATTTGGTACAGAGTTAGGGTTTAATGGCCACATAAAGAGAAAACTATAAAAACTAGGAAAATCGAAAATCTGGAGTAACATTCATAATCAATACTACTAGCGCCACACCGGCACCGTGGTGTTCGCCTATACCGCTCACCGCTAGATGGCGCTAGCACTTTGAGCGTCATTTTTCTGCACCGCGGTGTCCAGATTTTATTTCCTTTCTAGATCCCCCCGTCGATTAAGTTGAGTGTTGTGTAAATATTTGAATTTCGTTTATTATATGGTGAGGTTGGCTAAGGTTAAGTTATTAATACAACTTCTGCTTTGTTGTCCATTTTAAAGGTCGTTGAGTTTATTTGTGTTAAATATCGTAAAAAAAATGTCGATAATTATAAAAGAAAAGACGACGACGTTAAATAATTATTCCACTTTCTACAAAAAGAAGTGAAATCCCACCAAAAACATTCTGTAAAAACTAGCCAAGTCTCGATGGAGCTGCTTGTTTATCTCTAAAAAGTAATGAAATCTAGACAAAGTCGTGCCAAGTCTATGGTTCCTTACTGCAATTTCTTTATTATTATAGTTAATGTTTTATGACTTGGCCGTTGAACAATCTTTATAAGATAATCATACAAAGTATAATTGAAATACGCAGCTTTATCAAGCCTACTTGACTGGTTATTGAATCAACGTTTTCCAAGTGGCAATTTTCCATCGTGAATGGGTAGCGGTTCTGGCGACAGATTGGTGCAATGGTGTCATGGAACACCTGGTTTTGTACCCTTCAACGGCCAAGTCACACAACACTAACTATAATAATAAAGAAATTGCAGTAAGGAACCATAGACTTGGCACGACTTTGTCTAGATTTCATTACTTTTTAGAGATAAACAAGCAGCTCCATCGAGACTTGGCTAGTTTTTACAGAATGTTTTTGGTGGGATATTAATTGCTTCATCGTATTTTTGGTGTTTGTGCTGGGCGATGCACATACCTATACCTGCTGCATCTCACCTGCGAGGTGTAAGTGGTCCTATTGAAATAAACCACTGTTACAAAGTATTCATTAATTTTACTTGAGGGATCCTCAATACAATTTTGTGTAATGTCGAAATGAAATCGCCCCACGCGATTAAGATTTTGCTTTTCGTTTGTATAAAATACGAGTATACCTACTTTCATAAATATTCTTTCTTTTGACATTATAAAAACGTAACGTTAGGACTTTTAAATGCCTTAAGGCGGATTAGTGTGTATGTGGTTGTTCACTTACACGTCCTTCTTAACCTAAAGAACTAAATTCCTGTCCTATTAGTAATTTTTTTTTAGTTGAAAACATCATAATTAACGACCTGAAATCAAATTAAATAATTTATTTGTAAAACATTGACACAGCAACACACTGTGATCCTCGCGCTCGGGGACTCCTCCGTTTCCTTGTGCGCGCACTTCGCTTTCAACGAAAAAGTATGCAGTTCCGGAATCCGGATGCCTCGCGGTCGCGGCCGCTCTGAGTGCTCTGAGTCAGCCGCGGGCACCCGCACCGCCCGCGCGCGTCCGGCGCATACGGGTTCTTAGATCGTCAACCTCGGCCACTTCGCCTATCGGACACGTGACCAACGGTTTGGTGATTCCGCCCGTTTCACAACGTTAGAAGCATTATCTTACCTATTTACAAAGTGTTTGATGAGTATGAAGACAGGTCACACGGCCCATACAAAATTTACCCAGTCCCTACAAGATATATCCCTACTCTACAAAGACTTAAAACGGGACCCTATTACTAAAATTTTCCTGTCCTAAGATTCTTAGTGGCTCACACATAAATAAGTGTATTGGCGCAAAATTAAAAAGTTTTTTAAGGATTTTTACTAGGATACCCGTCAAGGCTTAGTTAGGTATGTAATTGTGTCCTGATGAAACGTAGATAAACGAGGATGGCGCCGCGCAGGACCCAGTCGTATCCGAAGTTGGCTAGCCCCGGTGATGAACGAACGAAAAAACAAAGCAACGTAATACGTTAGTCGAAGTAAATTTTTTTTTATTTGTATGATAGGTATAGACTATTAAAAATAGTGCTTGAATCAAAGTCAAAATTGTCAGGGTGACTGCAAACAGTTGCCAAATTAGGAATGACTCAATCAGTAAAACTGAGACGTTAATGATCCCGATATCGAGATTTCGGCATAAAAAGTGTTCGATTTACCTACGTAAACATGTCGGACTTGAGTCTTTAACTATGACGTCTTCTTTAACAATACTTACTCACAATGTTTCCCATAACGACAATCGTAATGAAAGTAAGGTTCACATAATAGAAAAGATCTCGCATGGATAGAGGTTAGAGAGAAGGTGCGCGGCCTGCGTGGTGCTCATGCTCCGAGGAGGGTGCCGGCCGAGCCGGACAGATTTTTATTTGAAGTTTAAGATGACGTGATACCTAACTCTGTTCTTGTATTTCACGCTTATTGCTTGTGCGAGATCTCCTGCGCCAACATGACTGTAAACTATTATAGTCAAATTAACGTTCTGAAACGTCAAGGGGCAGAAATCGGAACTAATAACCCAGTATTGGATTGATAATAGCGCCCTCCTGTGAATGACATATATGGTTGTCTAACGCAAATATGGGAACTATTAATCCAGTACCTATTGATGTAGCACCCTGCCGACAATGTCATAGCTGGGACGGTTCAGTGTTGGACGACTATAAGAGCGACTTGCTCCATTGCCGCAGCTTCCGTTCTCTGTGATCCCGCTATGACCGTTTCTACATATTTTCCGGTTCCTGCATCTACAGTTCTAAGTTTCCCACGTTTTAAATGATGTGAATCGTTGGTCTTATTTCAAAATTATAATATTCGAGAATCTAACTGAAATTCATTTTTCCATAACACATTTTTGCGATTTTTTCAGAAACCAAATATCCTACTAATATTATAAATGCGAAAGTTGGGATGTCTGGATGTTTGTTACTCTTTCACGCAAAAACTACTGAACGGATTTTGATTAAACTTTACAGTACATATTATTGTTTATAACCCATAATAATATATAGGCTATAATTTATGACGATCTGTGACAAACTAAATTTCACGCGGGTGAAACCGCGGGCAAAAGCTAGTAGTTTTATGAAATACTAGCGGGCGTCCACGACTTAATACGCGTGGACCTAGTTTTACCCTCTTAGGGGTAAAGTTTTGTAAAATTTTTAGCGGTTGTCTACGGATAAATACCTATTTAGTAGAAATTTTATTCACGCCCTTTTCAAATAGGGCCCAAATTGCATAAAGCTGAAAATTGGTTCGAATGTTCGGAGCACTATTATGAATGAAATGTGAAAAGTACCTACCCATCGATCCGGCATGTCCTAAAAAATATTTCTAAGTCCTGGTTTAAAAATACGAGTTTTAGCGATTTTCAACCAAACGGTACCTAAGTTATATCATTAAAATATGTAGGACAATATTTTAGAGCATAAGAGAATGCAATTAAGTAGTATCTATAAAAATTGACTTTACACTTTCTCCTAAGAGTCAGCGTTTCTGTGATACACTGACTGTTCCAAAGAGTTGAAAAAGTGTTTTCTTCATAACGATCTTACACATAAATACAATGTGATATCGCCATCTTTAACTATCTAAAAATGGGTGCAACTTAGATGAAGGACTGCAACGTGAGTTTCTTTCTACGATACGAAGTTTTCGTGTAGATTATATTTAAGAGCTCTTACGAGTATATGCACCAGTCACCATAGCTGGGCACCGTTAATCAAATGGTTAACTTCGTTAATCGTTAAACCGTTACTAAAAAAATTAACTTCGTTAAACATTAAAACATTACATTTCGGAAGATTTAACGCAAGTTAACGTTAATCGTTAATGCGTTAACACGTGATAATAAAAAAAAAATGTATGCAAAGTTAAAATAATTTCGAAAGCTTGTATCGCGCATGGAATTTATTCCTCTTTTATGTTTGCGCTACAAGCTTTCGAAATTATTTGAACCTTGCATACAAATATTTTTTTCATTTTAGTACAACTGCATTTCAGAATAAAAGCTTGTTTTTAAAAAAAGTTTTATTTTATTATAATTTTATTTTACACTTTTTAGTTGTATCTCAATCTCAGAGCCTTGGTACAATTACAATACAATTTAGCACCAAAGTGCTCGAAAAGACAAATCCAACGAACCCAAATTCGATAAGTTTCCACCGTTTCGTTTAGGGATTCATATGGCCACCTCCTGATTCCATCATCAGACCAGCCTAATTCACGTATTGATCTCGCTGAGGTTCAGAAGTCGTCCCATTGAAAAACAGTTCTAAATCCATTTATAGATTAACGATTAACGGACTTAGGATAATTTAACGGGAGTTAACGAGTTCGTTATTTTTTTTTAAAGTTAATCCGTTAATATAAATGTTAAGTTAACTTCGTTAATTAACGATTAACGAGTTAATGCCCAGCTATGCCCGTCACTACTACCAGAGACGACCTACAGCCTAAACGGCTTTACCGATTTTAGCGTGAGAGGCGTCGTTAAACAAAAACCCAACTGCGTAAAAATTAACTAAAAATATAAAGCAAGACAATTTCACAAATTGCCTCCAACTGCATAATTTGTGAAGTTGTCTTGTTTTTATTTTTTGTTTATTCAATAATAATTTTATTTTTTTCTTTCGTTTTTAAAGATTGTCAAAATAGAATCAGAATATTACGCAATATATTTGTTCCGCCCTAGAGCAGCACGCACGCTTCATTGGTATTCTAGGTAACCGCACCGGGCGCGTGCGCGCATTAAAGTAAAAGCGCCCCGCGTCGCGCGGTCGTACACCGAGCTTGCCTGCGTTCTTGTATTTTTTGTACGTTTTCCAACATTAATAAATATTTTCTATACTTAAATATCTCAAGGGAGGTCCAAAAAAATTACGCCCAATTTATTTTTCTGACATCTTGTGAAAAGATTGGTGTTAGGAGCTACGGTTGGGCTTAAACTGGCACAATTTAANCTATCGCCTTAAATTAATGGACTTTCAAGGGCTCCCGAATCACTTTGTCCAAATATATTTGTCGTAGTTTGTGAGAATTAGACCAAAAAGTGCCAAAATTTCCCAGTTTTTCGAGCACCATCGGAGTAGCACAAGGTTTTCAAGGTTGCAAACTTGGGTGTAAACTTCTCTCAAAGAACCCAACAAAATATTAAAAAATCGTAGATACATGCGCGTTTGTGATGCTCGACGTCGATACTGACTACGACTAATACGAGTAGGTACCTATGTAGATAATTGTGAGATAAATAAATACCTACTTACATTCCAACTTCATTTAGATCATACACTTTTTAAACAATGACTACGGTTGGTACTGGTAGTCAGCTCTGAACTGAATGCCGCCGGAAACGCCATACATACGCGCAGCGCTTGAGCTTTTTGCGCAATTAAGCTCATATTACACAAATACTTATACGACAACAGCTGATTTCACACCACGACTTAAGTCTTCTTCTTCTCGTATAATGGCAATCAAACTTCTGAGATTTATTAATGCTAATGTCACGTGCAAAATAGGAAGATGACGTATAAACCGAACGACTGATCTTTTAGTTCCACAGTTTTTGGATTCAGTGGAGACAGCAGGTTTCAAGACTCCATCGGGTCCAAAGCGAATTAGTTGTTCACACACGGCAACCCGCTTGACGCTCGATGCGCGCTCGAAATTCACTGTTTCAATGTTTATATTTTATCACTTCACTGCACTTTATAACACAAAGTACACTAATTAATAACCCCCTTACAGTAACTTATTAGTAATCTGTGCCCTTACTAATAAAAAATTACACACTCGTTTTTTTATGTGATAGGTGGCAGACGAGCAGATGGATCACCTGATGGTAAGCAATGCCGCCGCCCATGTCCATGTAGGTACACCCGCAATATTAGTGGAGTCATTTCAACTCCCTTTTAAACAGCAGTTTTAAATTATATTTCCATACCAAACGTAATTTAAAACAGTGCTCGACGTCATTTTTTATTAATAGTAAGGGGGTAAAAGTACACTTATTTTGCATCAGAATAATCCATATATTAGTGTTAGTAACAAATTACTTTTTTTTTAAAAGGCGTTCGGTTCTTCTATGCATTGTTAAATTAATATTTAGAATATTTTTAATGTTATTATGCAAGTTCGTGAAAAATATGTTGGATAGAGATATTGAAACCCATTGTATCATCTTATTTGTTAAAGGCATAAACAGCATGCTTCAAAGATATTGCAGCAATAAATTGGTTGTGTGTACCCCAGTAATAGACGCGGCCGCGGCAGCTGCAGTACCCACTATGGACTCGGACAGTGCTCTTGTGCTCTGGCCTGGCCGCATTCTGTAGGTGTGCGTGTATCTACTTGCGCATAAAGTAGATATCTACTTCCTTACATGCAGACTGCATATAGTAATAATAACGAATGTTGTGAAAGCTGTGTTCGTCTATCTATCTGATGCATAATTTATCGTGTGAACCCGCGCCTTTTCATCCGACATCATAATATCGGATGAAAAGGCGTAAAGACAGTGTCACATCATAATGTGACACTGTCGCTTACCGTGGCCAGAAACAAAGAACAAAGAGTATTAAATATTTAAACTAGCTTTTACTTCATATAATTACCTATATTATACAGGGTGGTTTTTTTTGTAATGCCACCTGAAGGGAAAGTACCTACTCTTAAAATTGTAGATAGAAAGAAAATTTTAGTCAAAGAAAACATTCCTTTGTTTTTTGTTTTTGAAAAGAAAGAGAACTGCATTCAAAGATTTCCAAAAATATTACTGTCCACCTTTAACATTGTTTTGAATTTGTTTAATGCTTTTTTGTTTAGTTGTCTTTACAACAACGCTATATTGGAACCTCGGAAGATAGTAGTGCTCCGCACCTCAGACACTCGGCAATAAATTGAGACTAATGTGCGACCGAAACTCTACAGTTATGCGAGATTCTGGCCCACAGTAAAGTGTAATTCAGAATAACATAACGGCACTACTACTCTTGAGATGGACAGATATTTTGATTACTTACCTAGCATATTATTATAATCTAACTAGCGCAACATCTTTCTATGCTATGGTACGATATATAGTCCGTTCAGACCAGATAAGTACACAGTTCATGCCTAAATCCTAAAGGCAAAGGAAGGCTAGGGCTTCGATGCGCCACTTCCATTCCTGCCATTAGGAGAAATCGGTCGCTTAATGTCAGTGAGGCCAATGAAAGGTATCTCAAAATATTTTAAGTGTCCGCGGGAGGTGCAGGGGTGCAGCGAGTCGTGTCCTTCGATTGCGTACCTATAAAAAGGTTTTTGACGCAATCCGTGGAATTTTATTAACCGCTAAAAGGGGTTCTATTCTTTTGGGTACAAGGCGCAATTCGAGTGGTCGAGACGCAGTTGGGCACCCGGTGCGCCGGGCAACCGGTTGCCGCGCCCCTCCCTCCCCCGCGTGGCCCGCACGCGGTTCCACAGCCTACTATTATAATAATACAATCAGGTGATCATTCCGTCTCCGCGTTCGTTAGCATCGCTTTTAAATTCCTCCGGAACGATGTAACGTGAGCTCGTGTTGCGCCCGTTGACGCCAGTTACACACGTGAACACAAAAGTTCTAACAACTTTCTTCTTTAATTATTCTGTATTTATGCCCCACAATATTTTATTAGTCTGAGGGCTAAGTGTGAGCTTACATCAAACGTCCTCACTAGTGAGCGCGTTAAAATAATATATGTATGAAAATTTTAGTTCTTTAAAGTTTCCGCTAGGGGCGCTGTACAACCCGACATACATTTAATATAATTTTTTTACGCGCTCCTAGTGAGCGCAGTGCGCAGAGCGTAGGACGTTTGATGTAAACTCACTTGTGTGAGTTGGCTTGTGCCCTCTGTTCATTTCATTTAATACTTCCACGACCATAGGTTAGTTAGTTTTGCAGGGCAATCGAAGCCGCACTTAGCCTCTTGATTGTGCTATTTTGCGCGATTTGTGGTTTAAATACGACCATAGGTTATGAAAAGCCTTCATCAAGAAAGCGCCCAAACATGGTAGGTAAATTATGGCCTCTGTGGCTTTTGAAGGCCTGTGTGCTCTGCAGCATTAGGTCCACAATGTCAAGAGTTGTAACTAATCTAGACCCGGTATGAGTGCCGGAGCTCATTGTAGGAGTTGCCCTGAGTTGCCCATCCTACTATTCATCACCTGTCAATCAATACGTGTCATGCAAATAAATTACATACTTATTCTGAAATAGATTATTTATCACCAGATCAGGGGCATCGTTGAAGAAAATAGTGATGACCGCTGGACGTTGTCACCGTTGTTGTTTAAACGGAAATCGACCACTAAGTGCATTGCAGAATAAACAATTTGCATTCGAATGTGCACCGTGTAATTACATCTATAACATTTTTTAGACGCGTCATCGTCGAACGAGGCGGTGCACCTGCAGCGACGGCTGCTGAGCCTCAGCTCGGAGCTGGTGACGCTCCGCAACCACCTGCACGTGGGCGCGGGCGCGGCAGCGGGAGCGGCAGCGGCAGCGGGCGCGGGCGCGGGCAAGGCGCAGCCCGCCGTGCCGCCGCGCGCGCCGCACCCGCCGCCCGCGCACCTCGCGCCGCCCGCCGCGCACCCGCACCCTCCGCCGCCCGGTCAGTACACGACGCCTCATCAGCTCGCACCTCAGCTCGTTTCCCGAACCCTCTCGGATGATCCCCGCTCAGGGGATTTCTGAGACTTTCGTGCGCGTACCCTCCGCGTTGCCGCAGGGGTGTTTCGAAGGGCTCGCTTCGCGAAGCTCCGCTTCTCGCCGGACGAGGCTGGGAATCGATCGGAAAGGGTTCCGTCGGATCAAAAGAGACGTTTGCTCGTTTGCAGAAGCGCGATGGCGCGGGAGCGGCGGCTGCGGCGGCGGGGGCGCGGGCGCCGACGTCGACGACCTCATCCACCTGCGCGGGCCGCTCACCGAGGACGCGGTCGTGCGCGCCCTGCAGGCTAGATTTTATCACAACAAATTTTACGTATGTATCTATTTCTGGTGCCCCGGATCGGATCGTTTCGATCGGTACGACGAGCGGACTGAACGTTTTGCAAAATGTACAACGTTCAGTCCACTCGTTGAAACTTGAGAAGAGCCGTTCTCGTATCGTCCGAACGAATGTGATTCCAGACGATGATCGGGCCGATCCTGGTGGCGGTGAACCCGTACACGGACGCGAGCAACTCGCTGACGCTGGCGGCGGCGCGCGCGCAGCGGCCCGAGCTGGCGCGCCTCGTGCACGACGCCGTGCGCCACCAGGCCGACACCGGCTACCCGCAGGCCATCATCCTCTCAGGTGACGCACCCCCCTCCCCACCCCACCCCCCGCATGACGACGATCACACTACCGCCATTATGACAAAATGCCACCTGCTGTGCGGGTAGGTGTGTGTGTCACCGTAAAATTGTGAATTCCGTCAGATTATAATTTGATGTCATATCAGTCACAATCACAATTTTAGAGATGTCCCTCGCATCGTGACCCGGTGAATGCCTCGACGGCCCTCGGTTCCCTCGATTGTAGGTTACCGGGTATGAGCAATTATGTTTCCAGCTGGATAACTATCCCGGCGTTCCTCGGGGATCTATCCTGGGCCTGTTGTTGTTTGTCATCTATAAATAAATAAATATCTGATATCACATATCTATAAAAGTTATCACAGCTGAGGTTGACCGCTCTGAACTTCTAGCTGGCTCTCTTTAACGATTCAAATATATATATATATATATATATAATATAGTGTATAATTACCCTAACATTGCAAAAAGAAATGCTGTGTATACCTGTAATTGAGGTCATATACGTATCATGTGTTAAACCATGTTAAAATGTATGAACTGTATTGTGTATGTGACTTTGTTGGTGTACCTAATAAATAAATAAATAAATAAATAAAAATAATTCTGCGTACCAGTGATCCGCTGCACATTCCCAAGGTAGACCTGAGGTGGAATCGTGTAAAGCAATCGTAAGCATTTGACAGTTCATAACGTACGATTATTCTGTCAAACGCTTTGTTTAACTTATCGTACTTATGAACTGTCAAATGATTACGATCGCTTTACACAATTCCACCTCAGGTAGAAACAATAGCTGTTTTAAGAATCGGCAACACCGAACAGGCGTTTCGGGTTCCGGGAAGACGTACGCGTCGATGGTGCTGCTGCGGCGGCTGTTCGACGTGGCGGGCGGCGGGCCCGAGACCGACGCCTTCAAGCACCTGGCCGCCGCCTTCACCGTGCTGCGCTCGCTCGGCGCCGCCGCCACCGCCGCCAACTCGCACTCCAGCCGCATCGTGAGTGCCCTTGCAGCCCCCGCCGGGGAACAGAGGGAATCGTTGCTCCTTCTCGTTACTTAGAGCGATACCGTGCATATTATTGATTCTATGCACAGTATCTGCCACTAAAATAGAACAGAACTCAAATATTATAATACAGGTTGGGTCAAAAACCTTTGCAAATAGCCACGCTTCATTCACATTCAAAACCGGTCCGAGGTAGGGACCGATGGGTGATGGAAAACTGTGCTTAATACTATACATTTTTAGTCACTATGAAGCACTTCATGAAACGACATCCTAGTTTTTGTGTAAAATCTCCCCTGAAACGCTGAAAACGGATTACGCTTAGTATACAAAAATAAAAATATATGAAATTATGCATAGTTTCCCATCACCCTCGTGTCCCTGCCTCGATCGTTTTCAAGAAATCAAGCGTTGCCATTTTCAAAAATTTTTGGCACACCCTGTATATTGCATTTATTCTCCTTCGTTTTCCCATCACAGACGTGACGCGTCACTCTGAATTTCGATCTCAACAGTAGTGCGACTGTCTAGGGTCACTTCATCGAAGTGCAAGTGACGGACGGCGCGCTGTACCGCACCAAGATCCACTGCTACTTCCTGGACCAGACGCGCGTCGTGCGGCCGCCGCCCGGCGAGCGCAACTACCACATCTTCTACCAGATGCTGGCCGGCCTGGCGCCCGACGAGCGCGCCCGCCTGCACCTGGACGGCTACGCGGCGCAGGACCTGCGCTACCTGGCCGCGCCGCAGCACCGCCGGCCCGAGCCCGAGGACGCCGCGCGCTTCCAGGCCTGGAAGACCTGCCTCGGCGTGCTCGGCATCCCCTTCCTCGACGTCGTGCGCGTGCTGGCCGCCGTGCTGCTGCTCGGCAACGTGGGCTTCGCCGAGGGCGGCGCCGGCGCCGAGCCCGCCGGCGAGGCCGAGCTGGCCGCCGCCGGCGCGCTGCTGGGCGTGCCCGCGCCGGCGCTGCTGCGCGGCCTCACCACGCGCGCCGCGCCCTCAACACGCGCGCCGCGCCCCGCGCGCCCGTCGCCGCGCCCGCCACCGCGCCCGCCGCCGCCGCCGCGCGCGACGCGCTGGCCAAGGCGCTGTACTGCCGCACCGTGGCCACCATCGTGCGCCGCGCCAACTCGCTCAAGCGCGGCTCCACGCTGGGCACGCTCAGCTCGGACTCCAACGAGTCCGTGCACCACCCCGAGCGCCGCGCCGCCGGGCGCTCGCGGGCCGGCGCGCGCTCCATGGCCGCGCTCAACGACGCCGTGCGCCACGCCACCGACGGCTTCGTGGGCATCCTGGACATGTTCGGCTTCGAGGACGCGGCGCCGTCGCGCCTGGAGCACCTGTGCGCCAACCTGTGCGCCGAGACCATGCAGCACTTCTACAACACGCACGTGTTCAAGTCGGCGGCCGAGTCGTGCCGCGAGGAGGGCGTGCAGTGCGCGCTGGAGGTGGACTACGTGGACAACGTGCCGTGCATCGACCTGGTGTCGTCGCTGCGCGGCGGGCTGCTGGCGGCGCTGGACGCCGAGTGCGCCGCGCGCGGCGAGCCCGAGCAGTACGTGGCGCGCATCAAGGCCGCTCACAGGTGACTCCGATCGGGCCCCGCTTCGGTCGTCGACGAACGCGGCGTTCCGACATTGTTTTGAATCCCACAACGTTCGATCCGAACTGACGATCCTCGTCGGTCTCGCAGGGGCCACCCGCGGCTGGCGGAGGCGCGGCCGCCGCACGCGCGGCGCTTCGCCGTGCGGCACTACGCGGGCGAGGTGGTGTACGACGCGGCCGAGTTCCTGGACGCCAACCGCGACGCCGTGCCCGACGAGCTGCTGGCCGCCTTCGACACGCGCACGTGCGAGTTCGGCTTCGCCACGCACCTGTTCGGCGCCGAGCTGAAGGCGCTGGCGGCGCACGGCGGGCCGGCCGGCGCCGCCTTCCGCGCCTCGCCCACCGCCGCCGCCGCCGCCGCGCCCGCCTCCACGCTCACGCAGGACTTCCACACGCGCCTCGACAACCTGCTGCGCACGCTGGTGCACGCGCGCCCGCACTTCGTGCGCTGCCTGCGCGCCAACGCCACCGAGACGCCCATGCTGTTCGAGCGCCACACCGTCGCCAAGCAGGTCGGCGTGTGACCCGGCGGCCGGGAGACCGACTTTCGCTCGGCCGACGGTCGGGCCCGATTCCGATTCGCGTGAAGATCGGCCGACACCGAATCGGTGTAACGTGCGCGCTTTCATACGTGTCCATGTTGATCATCGGCCCGACCCGACTGTCGGCCGGCAAAAAGTCGGTGGTCTGCGGCCGAGCTGGATGCTTATAAAATTTTGCTCAAATCACTTAAAATTCAAAATACATTTATTTGCTTCGAGACCATAAACAGTGAAACGGTCCGCACGAATGCCACATCACCACTGGCATTTATGTAAAATAGCTCACAACGGATTTCGTGTCGCAGGTGCGCGCGCTGCAGGTGCTGGAGACGGCGCAGCTGATGGCGAGCGGCTACCCGCACCGCATGCGCTTCCGCGCCTTCGGCGCCCGCTACCGCGCGCTGTACGGCCGGCGCGCCGCCGAGCGCGAGTGCGCCGACGCCTGCGCGCGCGTGCTGCGCTCCGTGGCCGCCGCCGCCGCGCCGCCCGCGCCCGCCTCGCCCGCCGCCGTGCGCTGGGCGCTGGGCAAGCGCCACGTGTTCCTCAGCGAGGGCATGCGGCAGGTGCTGGAGCGCGTGCGGCGCGCGCGGCGCCAGGCGCGCCCGCGCGCCCGCGGCCCGCGCCCATCGCCGGCACGCCGCCGCCCGAGCCGGCCGACGAGCGCGACCCGGCCGTGGTCGAGAAGACGTGCTCGCTGTTCGGCCTCGACCTGGTGAGTGGCGCCGCGAGCGGAGCGCCGCGCCGCGCGCGCCGCCCGACTGACCCGCGCGTGTTGCAGGAGCGGCCGCCGCCGCTGCCGCCGTCGCGCGCCTACACGGTGGCGGGCGGCGTGAAGCTGGGCTACCCGCAGCAGCGCGCGCTGGCGGCGGACTGGGAGGAGGCGGGCGTGCGGCTGCGCGCCGGCGACGCCGTGCTGGCCGTGGGCGCCGCGCGCCGCGGGCTGGTGGCCGTGCAGGTACGGGCCTAAAATTAATCGATCGCTCGTGTCACAAAATAGAAATGAACAGAAACAACATGTTGCTTCGCTTTGCGTACATATTAAGTTTTCATTTGTAAATTCTTTAAATATCTGCTCTGAGAACAACGGCGCAGCGTATGGTCTGTTTGCTTCTGTCTTCCATTTACGATTACCTGTAAATGGCTAAGCAGACACATAGTTAATTTAAGTTACATCAGTTATGTTGTTTGCTCTTGGGTTTCCAATGGCTAAGCAGACACATAATTTAAGTTTCATCAGTTATGTTGTTTGCTGTTGGGTTTCCTAATGTAAAATAAAATAAATAAATTTATGCTCGACGGTCGCGCTAGGGCTGACAACGGCCGCTGTGTGGACGGTCGGCTCGTCGACTAACTAGTCGTTTATAAAGTGGAAGATGACCGTTATTTTTTAGTATACATATACGTAAATTCGAACATGCATAGGTACATAGCATACAGCCTGAACCATTAACCAGCCAGCCTAACCACCTAAAACCATTTTGAACATATAAAAATTGGCCAAGTGCGTGTCGTGCTACGCGCAGTGTAGGGTTCCGTAGTTGTCCGTCGTTACCACAATATTTACATTAGGATTACAAACCAGTTTTACATTATCTTGTGTAGTTTTTAATATTATGTGGCTGTACCAAATGTATGGAAGCTTGAAACATTGAGGGAGGACAGATCCTGTTTATTCTGTAACCTATTATTGATGCCGTCTGAAAGAGCTCGTGTAGCACTTTCAGGATCAGTAATTAGATTTTTGATATCTTGTATAGTTTAGAAATAATCGAGTGAGATCACATCGTTTCCACCCTGTATAGATTTTGATGTGATCGTTTTGAATTTCAACTTTGCGACCTCGTACGGTTGCCGCTCGCGCCGCTACTTTGATTTTACTTCTTTCCTATTTGATACATGATAAAATTATTTTATACTAAAATAAAAGTAGACAAAATTCCCTACATTTGATGTTTACACAACTTTTTTGTAAGTCAAGTTTAGGAGCAGGAGCGCCGCAACGCAAAGTATTGATGTTGAACGCGAGTCGCGAGCGGTGTCTAAGTATGCGTTAGTCGAGGGCGCTTCGTATGTAGATTGTCTGTTCATTTCTATTTTGTACATACACTAGGTCGACTTCCGCAAGTGTATTTTTATGAATGAAATAAAAATGAGTGCATGGTATGGTAAAGCAGTCGCCACGTTGCAGGTGGGCGGGCGCCGCGTGTGCGTGCCGCACGCCGTGCTGGGCCCGCCGCGCGCGCCGGCCGCGCGCCCGCCGCCGCCGCCCGCGCCGCCCGCGCCCGACGCCTGAGCCGCGCCGCCCTCCACGCGACCGGTCACGTCCGTTGATTATGAAGCGTCTGTTTTCGTTCACGAATTCAGTTTTGGATTTTGTGACAGGTTTTGAATGTCCGTATCGGGCGACAGGACTCTACGTTCGATTCGATCGACGGCTGAAGTTAAAAAAACACACCGACCGAATTGAGAACCTCCTCCTTTTGTTGGAGTCGGTTAAAAAGCCAAAGACGAAAGCCTCCCGTTGCTTCTCGATTCTTCCGCTCTTCCCTTGATTTGAGTTCGTTGCCTGCTATTTGTTTAATCTGATCAGGGGGCTTAGTGTGAATACAAAATGTCGTCACTTAGCGAACACGTTAAAAATATTTTAGTTCTTGAAAGTTTCCACTAGGGGCGCTGTACAATCCGTCATACATTTAATGTCACTTTTTTACACAGTCGACATCGAATGCGTTTGACGTAAACTCGCACTACGCCCCCTGTGGGTCTAGTCAAAATGCCATCGCTAACCTTTCGATAATTTCAGTCGCCGCGTTACCAGTAATTCGATTCGATCGTAAAATGGCAGCCAAAATGCACGTTGAACCACGATCGACGCGTCGTTTTGTAGTTCAATAAAAGTTTTAAAATGTCTATGACTTTGCGATTGTTTTTACTTTTTTGAAGCTTTTTTTAAAATTAGTTTCTTCGGAACAGGCTAAGATCAAAGACTACGCTGCCTAGTTAGTGTATATTTTTTTTTACCAATTGTCAAATTAAGAAACTTAAATGTCAATATCTGTCTGAAAACTTTATTTTTTTTTATTTCGATCGAATCGAAACTTAAATCACCGGGGTTTTGGTAATCGCAAAAAAATGGCGGGTGTTTCGATTCGATTCGATTTTAATTGAGTCTTAAATGCATGTTGGGTTGGCTAAGCCTTTGTATGGGAAATTTCAATCCAGTCTTTCGATTATTGAGAGGTAGGGCTTTGCGATTCGTTTTTTTGCCATTTGGCTAAGCCTTTTTTGTTATCTACCACTTTTGCTATTTTTTTATTTGTTTGAGACTGGTTTGCGATTTTAAAGTGCATTTTGACTAGACCCACTGTTATGTCATTTGTCTATTTATTTTTACTGTCGTGGCGGTGGGTAGGGATTTACTACAACTTGACCCCGGAACAACTCAACTCTGACAAGTCGACCTCGTCAATGAACCCTTTTTTTGTCGGGGAGGAAATGCTTTGCGAACCGTCACCACTGTGCCGGGGGAAAGGGTGATGTGTGGGACTCCCGGCGCCCTGAAAAGGACGGGGTATACCCACTAAAACCTCCGCGGCTTTCCGTCATCGCCCGAGTGGGAGTGTCGCGAGTAACCGGCCGTAGTCTAAGACTTGCGCGACAGTCAATTCAATTCAACCCTACGACAATTCAACCAACTGCTATAAGTCGTAAATTACTTACTTTCCAGCATGACCTTTCGCCGTTTGAAGGTCTTCATATGGCCCTGTTTAGCGGTATATTGGTAGTAGGTACCTTTATTTTAAAACTTATCACAAATCCGTAACAAGTGGGTTAAGGAATTTTAATTTAACGTAAGGTTTTTTCTTAAGAATTGTCCTGATGGAAAATAATTTACGATTTCAATGTAGCAATAGGGGTTGCAGTAATATTATTTTACTGAAGTTAAACATGCGTCTACCTTCCAAATCATCGAATTAAGCGTAGGGTCCTGTCGCTCATACAGATAATAGGCTTTGAAGCATCCGGGGCTATTCTTCCCTGTTTCGACTGACGTCCGGCTAGCAGTTTAATTTGAAAAAACTTTACTTACCTACCTTTTTGTGAATTGCTAGTAGGTCGAGGATTTACGATATAAATTGGTGCCTTATATAAATAATAATCAAGTAATAATTGTAAATAATAGCTGTAAGTATTTATAAGTGATTCTGATGCAGCGGCCCGAAGCGGGCCGGCCCACAGTATTATTGTAAAAAATCGACTGATACCACAACGCCACTATAAAAATATACACAAACGAATTCATATTTCTTCATCTTTTAAGTGATGAAGGAGGTAGGTAATAGGTATATATCGTCAGTTGCAGGTTCACTTGGGGTAACTGACAAAATACGGTTTTTGAGTTAAATATACAGTTTTTCTTAGTTTTTTCTGCTCTTTCGAATGGTATAGGTAAAAAAATTCTAGCTTTAAAAAAATTACAATTACGCGGACATTTTCAGGTGTGAACTTTTCAGATTTCCTTCACAATTTTGGTGTAACTGACATTATTATAATTTTACCAGGTTGAATTGGTGTATCTGTAATAATGTAAAAATTTTGCTACAAAACTTTGCAATTACACTGATTTGCTAAGGTTTATAGCATGAAATAAAATAGGAATTTAGAAAGTTTTAAGGCATATTACATTATTATTATACCAGCAGTATCAGTTAAAGAAGTTAAAGTTAGCTCAACAAAAAAAAATTGAAATTGAGCAACAATCCAGCCAACCAGGCGTCACTGCGTGTTGTTACTCTGTTACTTTTACTGCTGTAGTACTCATGAACTTAAATCAACATTGCTATAAATAGGTGGGAAATTAAATCCATTTTGTTTTCAGTTTAAGTTGCCCCGTAGATCTAAATACGGTATTGGTAAGTAAAAAATATTGAAATTATTTAGTTTCACAGTAATACTTTAGTTATTTCAATATTTCTGTCTTAAAAAATTAAATACACATATTTTCTTGATTTTCATGGCTTTTTTAACATTTTTTGATTAACAAAATAAAAGTTACTACTAATAAAATTATAAAATAATAAAGAAAACGACAAAATGTTATTTTTTTCGTGAATTCTCTTATTTTTAAATACTTTTACATAAATTATACAGCAACTAAGTAAACGAACCTGCAACTGACGATATTATAAAAATGTATCTTTCAAAACAAGTGCCTGTTTTCAATGACGTTAGTAAATACATACAGATAATGTCAAATCCTAGAAACAGCAATATTAAACTTTGTCCAAATTTTACTTAGGGATGATAATTTCGACAGACCCAGGTACAGGTGGTGTAAAGTATTAGTCGTTAGTGAACCTATGTTACCATGTTTGACAACAATTGAAAGGGTAAGTGGACAAAGGTGTTATCTGACAAAACTGAAGAATCGACTTTTTTGCATGAATATAGGTTTTAAGTGATGATAAAATCGACTAATGAGCTCAAAACACGCAATTTTGTCACGTGTCAAACCTTAACAAAGGTTTTATCTGACAAGCATTCATACATTTCAGGATTTAACTGTGGTATGAGCAGATTAACATTTTCAAACACTCATAACTCATTTTGTTAGTTAAGACCTTTGTCCACTCAACCATTCAATTGTGACAACAATTATCAAGCCAGCAATTTAAGAAATAATGGTTACATTTGGAGCAATTTAAATATTTTTTAGGGTTCCGTACCCAAAGGCTGTAACTTTGTGTACGGAACCCTCTAACAGGCTTTAAGATTTCAGCTCGTTATTAATAACGGCAACAGGTACACGCTTGAAATATTAACAGAATATTTAAATACATTTTAAAAATAAATATGTAATTAAAATAATGTAAATATTAAAATTAAAATAAATACAACAACGCTTGTACAGAACTCTTCGTGTGCGAGTCCGACTCGTATTTAGCCTGTTTTAATCACTATTTAAAC